TACTTTTGATAAAGGTATTTTTCAATTGACTTCAATTGATTGATAAGAATTTTTTTCATATATCTTTCCATCAACCGAAAGCAAAGAGAGCCGGCAATTTTCTGCTACATAACATAACCAACTTTATGCCAACAACATACAACATAACAAGTCTTAAATATGATTTATCTTAATGATTTCCTGACAAAATGGTTCTTCAACATTGGCTATCTTTAACAGAGCCCCCCCCCCACCCCCCTACCCCCTTCAACATAGCCTCCGTCGACATAGCCTTTAATGTAGGCTAAATTTAATTCCTTCGCCTCCCAAATATAGTACACCTCCCCCTCAACCTCTTCTCTCCCTTCAACTCTCACTCCTCTCCTTCCATCGTTCTTTCCTTCTCCTTCTCTTCCTCCTCCTCCTCCTCCCTCTTCTTATCTCCTCTTCTCCTCACATTACTTCACACCTCTTGTCTCCATTCCTCATAGTTCACTCTCTCACCTTTTCCTCCTCCTCATACGTCTTCCTCACACGTCCTCCTCAAACCTCCGCCTCCTCCAAGGCGCTCCTCACGCCTCCCCGTTCCTCATTCTGACAATTATAAATGAAGCAAAGACAGTATAGTTAGAGTATTTGGCAGCGTCACTCATCCTGTGAGTGAACACACCGTTATAGTGACAGTGTTGGGCAGCGTCACTCATCCTGTGAGTGAACACACCGCCATAGTGACAATATTGGGCAGCGTCACTCATCCTGTGAGTGAACACACCGCCATAGTGACAATATTGGGCAGCGGCACTCATCTTGTGAGTGAACACACCGCCATAGTGACAGTATTTGGCAGCGTCACTCATCTTGTGATTGGACACACCGCCATAGTGTCAGTATTGGGCAGCGTCACTTATCCTGTGAGTGAACACACCGCCATAGTGACAGTACTGGGCAGCGCCACTCATCTTGTGAGTGAGCACACTGCCATAGTGACAGTATTGGGCAGCGTCGCTCATCCTGTGAGTGAACACACCGCCATAGTGACAGTATTGGGCAACGTCACTCATCCTGTGAGTGGACACACCGCCATAGTGACAGTATTGGGCAGCGTCACTCATCCTGTGAGTGGACACACCGCCATAGTGACAGTATTGGGCAGCGTCGCTCATTCTGTGAGTGAACACACCACCAAAGTGACAATATTGGGCAGCGGCACTCATCCTGTGAGTGAACACACCACCAAAGTGACAATATTGGGCAGCGGCACTCATCCTGTGAGTGAACACACCACCAAAGTGACAATATTGGGCAGCGGCACTTATCTTGTGAGTGAACACACCACCAAAGTGACAATATTGGGCAGCGGCACTTATCTTGTGAGTGAACACACCGCCATAGTGACAATATCGGGCAGCGGCACTCATCCTGTGAGTGAACACACCGCCATAGCAGCATATTGCTTCTCCGATAATAACCTGCATATTTATTTCACTCTCTAGGCGTTGTCATGCGCCACACCTCTCTCATTCTGGATGTTATTAAGCGCCACACCTTCCCTCTGGGTGAGATGTGAGAGCAGGAGCAGCATAGTCAATGAGTGACCTAACTGCTCGAAGCTCAGTTACAACTCAGCTTCTGTGCCAGCCAGGTAAGTCCACTACGGGCTCACCATAGCCCTGGCTACTTGGAACTTTTTGTTCTGAGTAGATGAATCTAAAACAACATGCTTGAAGCTAGTTCATTTTGAGTACTGGTAGAGAAGCACCATCTCTAAGACTTGTCAGGGAGCGCAAAGCCGAGTTTCTGGCTTCGCAACGGTGCCGAAGATATTCAATTTCTAGAGTGAATTTCAACTGGCTGTCTATTATGACTCCAAGGTATTGAAAGGAGGTAACCCACTCAATTTCATGTTTTTGTATTACGAGTCTGATGTCTTGAGTTCTCATATTAACGGCCATTGCTTTGGTTTCATTGGTGTATATTTTCATTGTTATGCGTTCCGCTTCTTTGCTGACGATGTCTAGGGATTTCTGTGTATGATTCCTAGCGCCTTCGTCATTGATGGTGACCACAAAGTCGTCTGCATAGTTAAGCAGTCTGGCTTTTGGTAACATGAGCTTCATGAATTGTTCCATGAGACAGTTGAAGAGGAAGGGGCTTAGTATTCCTCCCTGCGGAGTCCCATTTTCCAGTCTCTTTGAAGAGGATGTTTTTCCTTGTAATTTGACTTAAGTTTCTCTGTTGAGCAGACTTCCTTTAGCAAAGGCAAGAGCGTGTCCTTTGATTTCCTTATCCACCAGGTAGTACAGTGTAGCTGGAGCATTGGCTAGCTCGAAGACTTTTTCTAGGTCCAGAAAAATAAGGATTCCTGGTTTGTCATTTATTTAATCCCGGAGGGAGGTATGGCATTCTGTGGTTCCAACACCTTTTCTGTAAGCAAACATATTTTGGTACAGGTGATTGGCTTTCCATTGAATTCGATTAAGAGCCATTCTTTCCGCAGTTTGGGCCAGACAGCTTGTTAATGAGATGGGTCTTGGATTTCCTGGGTTTTTGGGTTTTGGAATGGGAACTATAATTGCACTATTCCAAGAGAGTGGTCGAGTTCTTGTCACCCAAACTTTGTTGATTAGATTCAAGAAGGCTTCTTCACCCTTTTCTCCTAGCTTGGCTAGCATGTTGTAAGTGATTTTATGCTCACCTGGAGCTGTGTTTTTATTCTTTGTAGCTCTTCTGAGTTCTTTCAAATTGGAAGATTGATCTAGTTCGTCAAGTAAGGCTAATGCATCGTCTATTTTTTCCATCTTGCCGCTTGCATTCTTTTTTGGTTTGTCAGAAATGCTTGAGTAAGTTGAGTGAAACTGGCTCTTGAAGCAAATAGATTTGCTAACCTTTCTGCTTCTTTCTCCGGATGTGCATGATGGGGCAGATCAGGAGGCGATTTTCCTTTGGCCTTGTTGACCTGCCTCCAGATGTCGCCCAAGGATGTATGCTGATTTAGCTTGGCACTCCACTCGAGCCATTTTTCTTCTTTGATTTTAGCTGTTTCTTCATGCACCTGGTCTCGGACAGCTCTAAGAAGTCCTAGAATAGCTTGAGTTGTTGCTTCTGAAATTTTTTCGTGCACAATTTAGTGTGTAAAGCAGTTCCTTGATCCTACCACATTAATACCGATGGTCTTAATGTTGTATGGTAATTATTTTCTTCTTGGTTGATGGCGTGATTTGCTGCTCTGCGTATTGCATATACTATTTATTTTCATTAATTTAGTGTTGTCAGGAGGAGTGTAGTTTTCGTGCCAAGTTTCGAGAGATTCCTGAAACTTCGTCCAATCTGCCATGGTAAAATTCCATTCGGGCTTGAGAGCTGAAGGTCTGGCAGGTAATACATTACCATTCCTGTAAGTATTGTGATAGTGGCATTTTTGCATCTGTTTCTGCCTTCTGCCCAACCTAACCTAACACATCCTTCCCTAACCTAACCTAACCAAGCCTAAACTAACCTATTCTTTCCTAACTTAAACCGAACTAACCTAATCTATCTTTACCAAACCTGAACTGACCAAACCTAGGCTATATCCATACCTAACCTCACCCAATTTAACATAGAAATAAGAGAACTTATGTTTTATATATGGTGTGCAAGAGATGTGTATGTGTGTGACATCATCATGACGTCACTATAGCGTTCATGACGTAACAGGTTGTATAATGACGTAACAGATTCTGCAATTACACCCTCGCACCTCTGAGGGTTGACGCCATCACTGAGATGTAAACAAAGCCGAGGGTCGAGCCAGAGGGGGGGGGGGAGGTGATTATAAATACCTGGGAGTAGAGCAACTGGTTCCCATAAGGTATACCTGTATTATAAGTATACTCGGTGTATGTATACCGAGAGGTGCACCAAGCTTCTACGCTGACGGGTTCAGGACTAAAGTATACTTAAGTCCTGACATCTATTTAATAAGTAGATAGGCTGTGAGTGCGACATCAAGTCACGTTAGTTCCATTCAGAGTTTGTGAGGCAGGTCAGAGAGAGAGAGAGAGAGAGAGAGAGAGAGAGAGAGAGAGAGGGGGGGGGGGGAGCAGGGGAGGGGAGGAGAACATGGAATATAAGAACACGTACGAGGGGAACAGAGGAGGGGAACTCATTACAAGCAATAAACAAACAGGAAGACGATAATCTTCCCACAAAAAGTTAGTTGAGCAGGTCGAGGGTACACCTCCACCACACCCCCCCCCCCTCGGTTACACTATCCTGAGATTACTATGTACACCCTCAGACACCACCAGTGTGTACACCCTCAGACACCACCACTGTGTACACCCTCAGACACCACCACTGTGTGCACCCTCAGACACCACCACTGTGTACACCCTCAGACACCACCACTGTGTACACCCTCAGACACCACCAGTGTGTACACCCTCAGACACCACCAGTGTGTACACCCTCAGACACCACCACTGTGTACACCCTCAGACACCACCACTGTGTACACCCTCAGACACCACCACTGTGTACACCCTCAGACACCACCAGTGTGTACACCCTCAGACACCACCACTGTGTACACCCTCAGACACCACCACTGTGTACACCCTCAGACACCACCACTGTGTACACCCTCAGACACCACCACTGTGTACACCCTCAGACACCACCACTGTGTACACCCTCAGACACCACCACTGTGTACACCCTCAGACACCACCACTGTGTACACCCTCAGACACCACCACTGTGTACACCCTCAGACACCACCACTGTGTACACCCTCAGACACCACCACTGTGTACACCCTCAGACACCACCACTGTGTACACCCTCAGACACCACCACTGTGTACACCCTCAGACACCACCACTGTAGTACTCTCTCCAACACTAGGGCGCTTCCAAGTTATGGCAACTTCTCATAACCCGACCACACACACACACACACACATATTAATGCCATAAAAGAGACACCGTTTTGGCCTATTCTGGACTATTATCACGTCAAAAATGTTCAGCAACTAGTAGTTACTGAACTGATAAGGTTCCACTTGATAAGGTTCGGGGACCACTTGATAAGGGTCCGGGATCACTTGATAAGGATCCGGGACCACTTGATAAGGGTCCGGGACCACTTGATAAGGGTCCGGGACCACTTGATAAGGGTCCGGGATCATTTGATAAGGGTCCGGGACCACTTAATAAGGGTCCGGGACCACTTGATAAGGGTCCGGGACCACTTGATAAGGGTCCGGGACCACTTGATAAGGGTCCGGGACCACTTGATAAGGGTCGGAGACCACTTGATAAGGGTCCGGGACCACTTGATAATGGTCCGGGACCACTTGATAAGGGTCCGGGACCACTTGATAAAGGTCCGGGACCACTTGCTAAGGTTTCCAGGGCGTCAGTGGCTTTGCAGGGATGTACCACTTATAATAATATATGTATAAACTTATTCATTGCAACAAACTTAACTCATTGTTTCCCCCTCCTCTCTTTCTCTTTCTCTCAAAGAGAGAGAAAGCTCTTTGCCTTCTCTCTTCATCACTGTCGTTTGAAGCTTCGTTAAGAGGCTGTTCTTACACAATTAGATGCTTGTTGAAGCCACTGGGTAGTCCCCAGGATGTGTCCCTCGACAGTTGACTAACGCCCAGGGAACGATAAATTGCCGGGTGAACAGGAGCAGCGCTGGTAGTGTAGAGACTTGCCCCGTCGTCTTGTCGTACATGCAATATGATCCAATTAACGCTCTGTGTCTGATACGAAACTGCTAGCCCTGCCTTGGGTACGAATGTGACTGCTATCCCTGACTAATACACGAACCAGGCCGCGGGATATGAATGTTTTCGATGTGCCTGGGATACGAACCCCTTCTCACCTAGTCTGGGATACAAACCATCTCGCCCTGCTTGGGACATGAATTGTTTTCTACCAGTCTGGGATACGAACCATATCTAACTCAGCCTGGGATATAAACCCTCCCCCCTCCCCCACACCCACACCCCCACCCCCTCCCTTCCCAGTCTGGGATGAAGCAGTCAATTATGATCAGGCTACGCTGAAAACACAGCTTTAAACATTACCTCAAACATCAAACGTAACACAACCCTGAACTCTTCCTTCAGCGCCGCCTATAAAACACTGCCTCCATCACTACCCGAAATACTATCTGCAAAACACTCCCTCTCCTGAACCATGCAAGCGCGTGCACACAAAGACATCTTCCACCTTTGAAGTACTAGTTAATTATCACCCGATTCCCCTCCCATCTTGAGGGTCAAATTTCCTTGCGTGTTGGAGGGAACACGTGCCGTTTGTTGACATTAGGCAGCGAGGGAGGGGAAAGGCAGAGGGAGGGGGAAGGGAGAGGGAAGGGGGAAGGGAGAGGGAGGGGGGAGGCAGAGGGAGGGGGGAAGGCATGCGTGGTGTTGGTGAGTGTTGGTCCACAACATGCCCGGGGCATTAGAGCAAGCACAGCGTTGTTTATATGTACAGGCATTATTTATTTGGTCTCTCATTGCTCTGCTTCCTCTCGCTGTCGCCCCCTTCTCTCCCTCTCTCTCTCTCTTTCTTTCTTTCTCTCTCTCTGTCTGTCTCTCTCTCTCTCTCTCTCTCTCTCTCTCTCTCTCTCTCTCTCTCTCTCTCTCTCTCTCTCTCTCTCTCTCTCTCTCTCTCTCTCTCTCTCTCTCTCTCTCTCTCTCTCTCTCTCTCGCTCTCAGGACAACTTTTATTTTTTTTTCAAATTAAATAGTTAGTCTTTTGCTTGGTATTTCTCGTGGATCGTCCTTCGGTGTGATGTGGCTGTGGGTGTCAAGGTATTTGAAAGTCTCTGTGTTTGTGAGTCTGAGCGTTCCTGTGTTTGTGAGTCTGAGTGTTCCTGTGTTTGTGAGTCTGAGTGTTCCTGTGTTTGTGAGTCTGTGAGTTCCTGTGTTTGTGAGTCTGAGCGTTCCTGTGTTTGTGAGTCTGAGTGTTCCTGTGTTTGTGAGTCTGAGTGTTCCTGTGTTTGTGAGTCTGTGAGTTCCTGTGTTTGTGAGTCTGAGCGTTCCTGAGTTTGTGAGTCTGAGCGTTCCTGTGTTTGTGAGTCTGAGCGTTCCTGAGTTTGTGAGTCTGAGCGTTCCTGAGTTTGTGAGTCTGAGTGTTCCTGTGTTTGTGAGTCTGAGCGTTCCTGTGTTTGTGAGTCTGAGCGTTCCTGTGTTTGTGAGTCTGAGCGTTCCTGTGTTTGTGAGTCTGAGTGTTCCTGTGTTTGTGAGTCTGTGAGTTCCTGTGTTTGTGAGTCTGCAAATTTGTGTATATCTGTGAAATCCGGTAATCTATTATCCCTCTTGTGGTTGACCTCTCTGCCGATTTTATTAAAAAAAACAAAATTTTTTTACCATAATATCAATGGTTACTACGTTTAGCCGCATAAAGTACACAAAATGGTGCTAATTTAGTGGCAATCTGATTTGATTCGTCCTGAAAAGATCAGATTTTAATGCATAAAACTCATTGAAATTTGGTGTAATTATATTCAGTTTCCTGAGAATCTCTTCAGGTCTGGGAGACTCAAAGGGTTAAATTGGCCTGTATTACTGATCAGTATTTTTCAGAGTCTTTCACATCCCACAGTTTTGAATTGGTGCTTAAAACATACCCAGAGATGAAAGAGGAAGTGTTTGAGATATTTAACTGGATCTATCTGCTTGAAAGGTCAATCTGGTAAATATAAAATGTTGCATTTTAAATCTTTGATTCCACAGCTACTTGAAAGGTCAGTCTGGAGCATTAGAGGGGCATTTCAACTTTGAATAGAGCCTCTCATTGTACTCCTTACTCCAAAGTAATCTGCGTTTGCTTCTTCTACTTCTCAGTGTTCGTGTCTCCTCTTCCTATTCTCAGCTTGTGGCTGGCGTCTTATCTTCAGGGCTTGCCATAACTCCCACTTAAGAGTGACCTGTTTACCGCCTTTCCAAGTGGTAGACCTAAATATTTAGAAATCTTCCTTCGGTTCATTAACTCTTATGTAAATACCGGAGCGGATGCTACTCCATGACATCACCCAGTACTTGTACTCATTCTGCAGGTGTAAGGTGATGCTTGTGTTGCCTACTGTACTAGTTCAGTTGTGGATTTAATGTAAATTATATAGTTAGTGAATCCTACTTGCAGAGGATAATGGAGCTTCTATGATTCTTTCACCCTACGTCAGGGCGCCTGACAGCTGGGTGGACAGCGCTTCGGATTCGTAGTCCTAAGGTTCCGGGTTCGATCCACGGTGGAGGCGGAGACAAATGGGCAAAATGTTTCTTTCACCCTGGTGCCCCTGTTACCTAGCAGTAAATAGTTACCTGGGAGTTAGACAGCTGCTACGGGCTGCTTCCTGGGGGTGTGTAACAAAAAGGAGGCCTGGTCGAGGACCGGGCTGCGGGGACGCTAAGCCCCGAAATCATCTCAAGATAACCTCAAGATACGTGCAAGGGATCAAAGAGTTTATAAGGTTAGTGAACCCCACATGCAAAAGATAAGAAAGATTAAATGGTCAGTGAAACCCATCTCGCATAGGATCAGTAAGCTTGCGCAAGTCGCTGTCCCTGCAATCATAACGTTTATAGTCTAGCTACAGATATAATTTGTTAAATAATAACTTTAGATTATCTGAAAATGTTAACTTCGTTCCTCTGAGGCGATTCAGTTCAAATCACTGCTAATCAGACCATAAAATATTGGTAATGCTCGTAGCTGAGTCTAGTTCAGGTTATTGCTTGGCCCTCACACACCAGGATCTTGCAAGGAATGAAACGAGACAAGCTCATTCATCTTCTCCGGTTCGCTGAGCTCACTTTAGACACCGGCGATTAAAGTAAAATATTAATAGATTAACGTCACACGTATCTTGTGTATTGATGCAGCTGAACTGCAGTAACATTATCATCCCGGCGAGATGGTGAAGTAAGGTATAATATCTATTATTTTTTTATATACACAGGTGGGTATAAGCGCAGACGACTTCTGTCTCCTGTTATCTCTATTGATATCGCTTCTGCATTACCCACTCGGGTTTTAGTGTTGTTTTAAGGCTTTACAATCTCTAGGGAGGTTATTAAGGCCACCACAACAGTTCATTAACCCTGCAACAAGTTTGATGTTGGGCTTAAGGACTATTAACCTATGCAGGGGGGGCGGAAATTCATGCAAAAATAGTTTACTGACCAAAAAGCAAGTTTGATAGTGGTCTTAAGGCCTATCAACCTCTGGAAAGAAGGTCTTAAGGCCACCACTATTGCTTACTGGTCAACCAGCAAGTATGTTTTAGTCGTGAACATTGAATATCAGTATCTGATTAGTGTGTGTGTGTGCGAGGGTACTCACCTATCTGTACTCACCTATTTGTGCTTGCAGGGGTTGAATTCTGGCTCTTTGATCCCGCCTCTCAACCGACAATCAACAGGTGTACAGATTCCTCAGCTTACTGGGCTCTATCATATCTATATTTGAAACTGTATGGAGTCAGCCTCCAACTCATCACTTCCTAATGCATTCCATTTGTCAACCACTCTGACATTAAAAAAGTTCTTTCTAATATCTCTGTGGCTCATTTGGGCACTCAGTTTCCACCTGTGTCCCGTAATGCGTGTGCCCCTTGTGTTAAATAAACTGTCTTTATCTACCCTATCAATTCCTCTGAGAATCTTGAATGTGTTGATCATATCCCCCTGAGGTGATCATAACTCTTCTGTCTTCCAGCGACGAGGTTTAATTCCCGTAGTCTCTGCTCGTAGCTCAAACCTCTCAGATCGGGTACTAGTCTGGTGGCAAACCTTTGAACCTTTTCCAGTTTAGTCTTATTCTTGACTAGATATGGACTCCATGCTGGGGCTACATACTCCAGGACTGGCCTGCGTATGAATATCAAGAATTAATACTTTAAACTTCTGTTTTAGCCAACACCTAAAAGGCGGTCACATGCCAACACTAATGAACTCATTCGCCTTAGTTATTCTCTTGAACATGAACGTCATGTTCACATACTTTATAGATAAGAACTTAATGGTATCAGACCAGAGCTAAACACCGCAGATACCGACACACCTTCAAGGTAATGAGGTTGTAATCAAAAGAAGAATCAGCCATTGGTCGTTTGCGGGACGGTTGAACACGTGTTGGTGGTGTGCTTAGATGGTATCTGGGGGGAGAGAGAGAGAGAGAGAGAGAGAGAGAGAGAGAGAGAGAGAGAGAGAGAGAGAGAGAGAGAGAGAGAGAGAGAGAGAGAGAGAGAGAGAGAGAGAGAGAGAGAGAGAGAGAGAGAGAGAGAGAGAGAGAGAGAGAGAGAGAGAGAGAGAAATATAGAGAGTGCGTACTCACCAAGTTGTACTCACCTAGTTGTGCTTGCGGGTGTTGAGTTTTGGTCTTTGGTCCCCGCCTCTCAACTGTTAATCTACTGATGTACAGGTTCCTGAGCCTACTGGGCTCTATCATATCAACATTTTAAATTACGTATGGAGTCAGCCTCCACCACATCACGTTCTTGTGCATTCTATCTGTTAACTACTCTGACACTGGAAAGTTTCTTTCTAACGTCTCTGTGGCTCATTTGGGTACTCAGCGTCCACCTGTGTCCCCTGGTGCGAGTACCACCTGTGTTCAATAATCCATCCTTATCTACCCCCTATCATTTCTCCAGAGTTTTTTGTATGTGGTGTTTGAGTATGTACTCACCTAGTTGTACTCACCTAGTTGTGCTTGCGAGGGTTGAGCTTTGGCCCTTTGGTCCCGCCTCTCAACTGTCAGTGAACTGCTGTACAGATTCCTGAGCCTACTGGGCTCTATCATATCTATATTTCTAACTGTGTATGGAGTCAGCCTCCACCCCTTCACTGGCAGATGCATTCCATCTTTTAATTACGCTGACACTGAAAAAATGTTATTTCTAACGTCCTTGTGGCTCATTTGGGTACTCAGTTTCCACCTGTGTCCCCCTTGTTCACGAACCACCTGTGTTAAACAGTTTATCTTAATCTTCCCTGTCAATTCCTCTGAGAATTTTGTAGGTAGTGATCATGTCTCCCCTAACTCTTCTATCTTCCAGTGTCGTGAGGTTCATTTCCAGTAAACTTTCGCCTGCTGACTTATGCAACAGTCTCATAACTCGAGACTGTTATGCAACAGATGTTATGCTCAAACTATGTAACAAGCTGTTATACTTCAACTTATGCAACAG